GTCTCATCTGGATGCGATAAATCGATCCGCTAATTGACGCCCGTACTCCACCCTCGGCAGGAGGAGTAAGCGGCGTCGACGGGGGAGCCGCGGCAGTCGACTCACTGCCGTGAGGATGGCCAGGTAAGTCGAACTAAAATACTTTGACTTCAGTTGCGTATCTTAGTTCGAACCCCCCGCTACTGTAGCCCGGGCCTCAGAGAATGCAAATGTGCTTCAGTCAATGAGAAACTAAGGGAGCGAGCTTGCAAGGTGCCAAGTGACTTCTATGTTACCAACTCCTTCACAAAGGCATATTGTTTCATAGAAAATGTCTACAACAGACAGCGTGTCATGAGACTTTCAGGACAATTACCCGCTAAATTGCTAATGAGGAAACTGCCAAGACAAGGTCAGTGGCGTGACCTCATTCAGATCGTAGCCATCTACAAATACAACTGAGCAGGATGTCTTTAATATTACAGGCAGTGTCTATGCTAGCATTAAAAATTCCTGCAGCCTCAACAGTGGGAACACTAGTGTAGATCTGCTGCCAATGTTTGAGTCTCCACATTGAGGCAGCATTGTCTAATGGATAGGAACTGGGGCTGGGAGTCGAGAGATCTGGGGTGTATTCCTGGTATAGACAGTGAGCTGCTGTGTGACTTTTGTTTAACCTCCCACCTTTTATCTCTTTTGGGCAGGGATGATCTCTCACTATGTATTTGTACAGCACTCAGCACAATGGGGTTCCAATCTCAGTTGGGGTCTCTAGGCACTAACCCTAATATTATAAGTGATTAATATGCGGTGGTTGGACATGCCTTGTCTACACTAGAGCTACCATTGGAGACATGCATTAGAGGGAAATATTAAGAAAAAAAATAGGGTAGATAAGGCCAGTGGGGGCCTTCACCAGTCCTCTTCATTAATCCTGCTGTATACCACAGGCTATGGCAAATGTTTAAAGACACATCTCCAATATGAAAAGTAGAAGAATTCATTAACCTTTTCATACCTAGATGAAACAAGATTCAATAAATGAACTCATGCTTATTTAATTTTCCACCAGACTTTTTCACAACCTCTCTGGTGACTGGGCAACAATATATTAAACAATAAGTCAGTGTAATTGCTTGAGTGAATTATCTATCAAATGTATCCAAACATGGGATGAAATGTAGCATAAAACAGCAACTTAGGCCCTTGTCTTGCAAGCCCTTGTGTGCGCAGACCTCTATGCGCGCAGAGACCGGCTGTGCAGAATCAGGGCCTTATATTTTATTCTCTAGAACACACAAACTTTTCCCAGAACAAAGACTATTTCTGCATAACAGAGGCAACTGCTAAGGGTGTGGTTATCATAAAGCACTTTCTCTAAGGGAATTTACTGTCCAATGCCATGCATAGTTCTTTCTGGCATCCCAGAGGTATAACACGCAGTTGAATTCTGCCCCTGGACTCATGCATGACTCAATGACAGCCTATCATGCATGCCCAAAGAGCAGAATTTGGCCCTAAATTCTTTACAACCAAGGCCCTGTCGTATTAGTTACACATTCAGAAAGATTCTTTACTTGCCCAGCCACGTCCTGTCAGCATGCCCACTACCACTTTGAGTTAATCTTACTTCTGAGTAGCATCTAGGCTCAGTATAAAATTTAACATGACGAGCTAGTGACTAATCACATCAACGATTGTGAAGTGAAGTCTGATATGAAATGCTGAGCTTTCAAGCAGTGTGCCATTTTCTGAGATGCTTGAGATCCTGTTTTACATTTCCACTGACTCCCCATATACACACATAGACACAGGATGGCGCAGAAGTACACATACACAATAATTCACTAGTATTGGTAGGTATGGGGGGGTGGGAGAGGATGACGACCTTACAGCAATTCAGTGGTAAGGCAACATACCTCTAAGGACCTGATCCTGCTCTGAAAACAGTGTGGGTAGATCCCTGTGCTAGCAGAGTCCCCACAGTGTCCACTCACACAGTTCTCAGTGTAGCATTGGAGCACTGAATGTTTGTTTTGATGCCTGCATGATGGAATAATCTTACAGAAGAAAGAAAATCAGAGGATACAATGCAGATAGAAGAAAGATGACAGAGAAGAAGAAATGATACCCAGGTTTACCAAGGTATGGTCAGTTGAGCAGTATCTGGGATAGGTGCATGGAAGAGATTTTATTTATATACCTACTCCTGGATTACAAGATAGATTCTACAGGACTGGCTGGGTCATGATTGCTCTAACCTGCTCCAGCTGCTGTCATACCCCCCATGGGGTTTACAGCAGTACAGGACTGCTCAGCTAAACCTCCTGCCATCAACCCTCTCCTTCTTTCTGCCTCCACCCTGGAACACCTCCAGGATTTCCGTGGCATTACCACAGAGCTATCCCTATAGCCCCTTTGTGCCTGCATAGCCAACATCACTGACACAAAGGCCCATAAGGCAACTATGGATGTGGCCCTCAACATTTGTCAGTGATCTTGGTGCTGCAGCATCTCCACGTGAAGCAGAGGAAGATATCACAATTACTGCAGGTACCAGGAATGATAAATGAGGAGTTTTGAATAAAACTGTACAAAAGTAACCCTTCAAAAGCATTCCCGAGCATGAAGCTAACTCACTTCTTTAAGCTGGAGGTCATCCCTGCCTTCTGCGATGCAAGCATGTCCTTTTAATGTTAGGTTGACTCTAAAGAAGTATGTGTGCTCTGGATGAGAAAGCTGGAAAGGTTTTAAATGCATCACAGGGGATGCAGAGTAAAGTAGTAGGTGCTATATCAGAAGCTGATCCTCAGTAGGCCCTTACTGCAAAATAGGATGACCACATCATATCCCAAAAGCATGTGTGCCAGGGTTCCATGCTCCAGGGAGTACTTTCAGCAACTGATACTACACAGAAGAGAACCCTTCACTGCACAGGTGGTATGAAATATTAAAGGTTACAGGTATCTAGAACTTGGAATGCAACAGTGAAGCAGACCCATTTTATGAGGACAGGGTGATGTAATGAATTACTTTTAACCTGATTGGTCTAACACAGAGCAATGATGTAGGCATCATGAATGTTTCCCAGAATGCAGTTCCACCTTGAGCAAGTACACTGGAGTTTTCACACCCTCTGTATCTGATTACTTGGATTTACGTCCAGAGAGCTGGTTCAATTCTGAAATCTGACCAGAAGATGGTGAGTATAATTTGCCTCAATGTGGGCAATGCTGACAATTTTGTTTCCAATATTCAACTGCTCTTATTTAAAAAAAAAAAAACCCACTCAGCTCATCTGAATAATTTCACGTATTTAGATAAATGCACACTCATCAGTGATAACCATCTCCAAATTCTCACATTCCCTTCTAAAGCATCTTATCAGGAGAGAAACTTATTCCATTTGCTGCCATTCCATCCCCAAAGACCAAGACAAGACTCCAACTTTCTAAGGCCCTGACCCTGCATTAAGCTGTGTGGGCAGAACCCTGCATGCATGCAGAACTGATTGCAAGACTGAGACCTTAATGGGATAAACAATGGCTATGGTCCTACAAAGGGAGCCACAGGAACGTATCTTTGGAGGAGCTCGCATCGTCATAAGTGTCCACCCATGCAGACCTGTTTGCAGGATTCAGACCATTGATCTAAAGCTGGGGTCAGTAACCTTTCAGAAGTGGTGTACCAAGTTCACTGTAATTTAAGATTTCGCGTGCTAGTAATACATTTTAACGTTTGTAGAAGGTCTCTCTCTATGTCTCTATTATATAAATAAACTATTGTTGTATTTAAAGTAAATAAGGTTTTTAAAATATTGAAGAAGTTTCATTTAAAATAAAATTAAAATGTAGATCTTAGCAATTTAGTGTGATTCTTGCCTGGGATCCTTGTCTGGGGTTCCAGCCACCAGACCCGCTCAGCCCGCTGCCAGTCTGGGGTCCAGCCGCTGCCCTGCTCAGCCCGCTGCCGGTCTGGGGTTCCATTCACACAGACCGGCAGTGGGCTGAGCAGGGCCGGTGACTGGGACCCCGACTGGCAAGGGGCCGGCAGCCGGAACCCCAGACCAGCAGCAGACTGAGTGCTGCCGGCATCCCAGACTGGCGGCGGACTGAGCCACTCAGCCCCCCGCCGGCCCCACTCAGCCTGCCACCGGCCCGCTCAGCCCGCCATCGGCTGAGTGAATGGAACCCCAGGCCGGTGGTGGGCTGAGCAGCTCAGCCCGCCGCCACTCTGGGGTTCTGGCCGCTGGCTCCTGCCAGCCGGGGTCTCAGCCCACTGCCAGCCTGGGGTTCCCTGGGGGGTCCCCCAGGCCAGCAGCGGGCGCTGAGTGGGGCCGGCAGCCAGGACCCCGGCTGACAACGGGGCAGCAGCCGGAACCCCAGAGGGGTGGTGGGCTGAGCCGCTCAGCCCGCTGCCGCATGCCATCAAAAATTGCGTGCCATAGGTTGCCGACCCCTGATCTAAAGAAAGGCCAGCCTAATTGCCTCTCCCATCCCCTTCCTGCTCCCTATACACCAGCGGTGGAGTGCGGCTGGCATAGAAGCTGGCTATGCTGCTTTGTGCCTGCTGAGAGCTCCCCTAAAGGAATTCTCAGCTAGCCAGTTAGGCTGATCCTGAGTCATGCAAAATGGATGGAATTTGGGAAGAGAATCTGGCCCCATGTCTCAGAAGGAGGCCTCTGGGCTAAATTGACAAGGGAAAATTCAGCTGAGCACTGCAGGACCTAATAGGTGGCATTCGCAACACTGAGTGAGGCACCCAGGCTCCCCAGGCATTGTATGGGGAGAATTAGGTGCATAAAAAGGATTCACAGAAGCAAACAAGCTTAGGAAGGGATGCCCAAGATAGCCAGTAGTAAATTATTTGCCTAAAAGTTTTTACTATCAATTAATTTAGTAAATTGTTATCACTTATATAACAACAGTGATTTTTTTTCCTGACCTGCAATCAAAACAACTTGCATCTTCTTCTTTACTGTGACACTGTATAAAGTACTCTGAACAAAAAGTGTTACTTACAGTTGTATGATGGGAGACGCTGCCTCCAATGCTAAGGTTTTTGAGAAGTTGAGGAGACCCGCCATACTGCCCCGAGATCTGCTTCCTGACTTCTGCTGCCACAGTTCTGAAACAAGAGAGGAACAATTTAACTTTTGTAAACCAGGGCAAAATGTAAGGTAGGTGGTTCTGCCGTAGGAATATTGCTGACCCGTGAGGACAGAATGTGTGTATCAGACTCCCCAGTACTTACAGAATCTACTGCAGGGCAAAAAATTCAGATTCTTAACCCAAATACAAACATTTTCCTCTTGTGCAGTGCATTTCCAAGCCACAACAAAATGAGACGGGACAACTAACTGGCTGAACCTGTCCATAGCAAGCTCCTTCCACTTTCCTCTGCGGAAAGACCTTCTGCAGCACTCTCGGTGCCCCCCAGCAGTTCAGACCTCAGTCACAAAGCAGCTCTTGTACGTGCCCACTCTCTCATTCCTGAACCCTGTGTGTGTGTGCCATGACTTCTCTTTCATCTCAATGATTACAGATTGGCAGAGACTTCTTTGGTGAAGTCCAACCCCCTCTACGCCCGGAATAGCTGTGTAGCCTAGAAAGTGGGTAGGGATAGCTGAGGAGGCAACACCTGGAAAATGCACTGACTGAGCCCTGGCCAACATTTAAAGCTATTTCTCCTAAGCTTGTCGAAATCTCAGGGGAAGGCAGCAAAAGTACCGCTGTGATGGCTCTGTAGCTGGAGGCTGAAACAGGCCCACATCCTCTGTGGCTCAGCACAGAAAAAGACATGCAATATACACTGACCCGCTCGGTTACAGTGCCAAATGTTCTCTGCTATAGGTGAATCCCACCATTACCACTGCTTTCCTCTTGGGCACAGGGGAATGCAATTATGCCCCTCTGTGCTTGCAGGATGAATCAAGTACACTGTGTCCCTGTAGCAGGGTGGTTACCCGCTCCTGCCCTGAGGGGTTTAAAACAGCCCTGGAGGAGGGCTGTGGACGGGCAAGATGCCTGGGCTGATTGGGAGGAAGCAGGCTCAGCTGGGGCCACGCCCCAATCAGGCCCAGCTGGCCCTATAAAGGCTTGAGCTAGGAGCTCAAGCAGACAGTTCCTCTCTGTGTTCAGAGAGAGAAGGGCCTGGCTGCAGGGAACTTAACCAGGTATCTGGAGTAGAGCAGGGCTGGGGAAAGGCCAAGGGAGCTCTGGCCTAGGAAAGCCCTGGGCTGCAGGCCTGGTAAAGCCTATTAGGTACTGGGTTGCAGGGGGCAGCCTACGGGTAGCCAGAGGCAGCAAGTCCAAACCCCTTTGCATGTGATGAGTGGCTTATATGCTCCAGTCTGCCCCAGTGAATGGGGGCTAGATGAGGCCTGGCAGTAGCCAAGGCTGAGGTGAAGTGGGGATAGTGGGTGGGTGTTCCCCTGGGTGGGGAGACCCTGAGACTGAGGGGTTACTGCTAAGGGGGCAGCACCCCAGAGAAAGGGGCACTGAGTCCTGGGGGAGGACGATGGGGGGGGGGGGGG